TCTCTCCTCTCTCCTCTCTCTTCTCTCCTCTCTCCTCTCTCCTCTCTCCTCTCTCCTCTCTCCTCTCTCCTCTCTCCTCTCTCCTCTCTCCTCTCTTCTCTCTTCTCTCTTCTCTCTTCTCTCTTCTCTCTTCTCTCTTCTCTCTTCTCTCTTCTCTCTTCTCTCTTCTCTCTTCTCTCTTCTTCTCTTCTCTCTTCTCTCTTCTCTCTTCTCTCTTCTTCTCTTCTTCTCTTCTCTCTTCGTCTCTTCTCTCTTCTTCTCTTCTCTCTTTTCTCCATTGTTGCTATTGCTGCTGTTGCCATTGCTATTGCCGTTGCTATTGCCGTTGTTGTTGCTGCTACGGGTATTTTGTTGATGGCTCCGACACTATAAACGCGCCAAATCGATATGTCGTTTGCATCTATTTTCTACGGCGTTTCCTATAATCATAGTGCCTGTGGCATCGGTTCGTTGCGGCGACGAGGCTGCTGCGACCGCTATTATATTGTTGCAGCTGGTGGTGTAGCCGCTGCTATAGTAGTAGGTGATATTATTCGACCTGTTCTTGTTGCTTATTGTTGATGCTGTTGATATTGGTGTTGTTGCTGTTGTTATTGGTTCCGATATTGATATAAATATGAGAAGATCGCTAATTATCCTATATTCGAAGTGTCTATCGGTTTGACCGATATTTCCTGCATCATATCGAAATACTTTTTAAATATATAAGAAAGGGTCCCACCTTTTGAGAGATATCAGAGAAATATATGCTATAATCGTAAGACCGGAAAAAAAAAGAAATATCGCAAGAACGAAAGATTAGCAAACTAAATTTCGAAATTAAATAAATTTGGCTGCTAATAGATTTGCCTACTAGAGAAATCAGACCTTATTATCATATAAAATTTCTAAAAGAATCTTATATAATAGAGAATCCTAATTCGCAAATAATTTGCCTTAGGGTATCAAAATAAATCTCGAGAAATTCCAATTTCATTAATTTAAATCTTGAAATCGTAATATAACCAATATACGAAAAATATCATCCTATAAATATATAAAAATAATTCAAAATTCAAGAAATACTATTTTCAAACCCCATAATCAACCAATCTTGCGCCCACTACTATAACTTTTACTGTAGCTACTGCGACTACTACTACTACTACTACTACTACTACTACTACTACTATTACTACCACTACCACTACCACTACCACTACCACTACCACTACCACTGCTAGTACTGCTACTACTACCACTACCACTACCACTACTACGACTCCTACGACCAGCACCACCAGCACCACCATTCCTACTAGTTATCATTTTCTTATCGTCACTTTCCACTGCCATATTTCTTTGTTTCCTTACTTGCTCTAACATAGTATCTCTACTATAGTTAAGAGTTCTAATAAAGCCAAACTACATATTTACAACGATAAATCACAATAACAATAATAGTTGTGACAATAGCGACAGCGATAATAATAACGAGAAGACTAGAAACAACAAGAGAAATAAGACTAGTAATTCTTTCTAGATCATTGCAAAAACCGTATGTTTGGTTTAATGATTAATGTATTTATCAAACTACTTTCATCTCAGAACCAAGTACCACTCTTCAATTAAAGAGTTTCCGAGCACAATCAATACTCTCCCAAAATTAACGTCTCCATGTTTAAGATCTTCATTTTCTACTCATTCGTCACCAAAGTTTAGAATTTGTTTGCAATGTGGTCCGTGGAAAAGATTACTTCATTTCTAGAATAGCATGATCCATCTGATTAAAACGTGTTCTTTATCAAGGATCCCTGTTCTCCCATATAGCTCATTTTCATCCACTTTAATCTAATCATCAAGCAATCGTAATTTCAGTATGTTGATTCGTGCTTTTCTTCGGCGATCCGAGTGTTGTCTCTATTTTGTCTCCCCGTCTGAGAAGGATAAGCTCCTCAAATCAACCTGGAACATGCGAGTGTCAGACATCTGCCTGTATATCTGCACTCTACGAGCTTGGGAATAAAGCGGCCTGTTGTTCTCCCAGCCCGGCCGCGAAAGAAGTACGACGACGGAAGGACTGCCAAGCGAAACCAGTCAAGGAAACTTGACACATACACGAAGACGCTTCTTGATCCTGCCTCGTAGTTGGCTCGGTGCAAGCGTATCCTCGGTGGTCCTTCACACGAATGCATCGCTGCCTATGCATGATCCAATTCGAAGCGCAGAACGGTTGCTTTTCCTGACTTTGAGACCATGGAAGATCTGGCGGATGGTGACGGACCTGACTGACGTTCCATCGCGTCCCAAGAGCTCCCATAAGGTCGTTCGGACACAGACCTGACTGTTTGACCGTATCGCTTCGCAGCAGATCTCGATAGATGCTGAGCAGCTCCTGGCCTTAGAGCGACAGAAAGCAGAAGGCCCAATCTACTGCTGTATCTCAAACAGAAATGCATCTAGGATCAGAACTGAAGTCTCGATGGAAGAGGCGCTGCTGCTCCTCGATTCCTGACTCCGGCTGACTGCAAAAGCAGGGCTCACTGCTCGCTGTAGGCGATTTACGGGCCCTTGTGCCTTTGAGCTGTGGCGGAGGAGATCTCCTGGCAAGTCAGGCGTTACAACAGCACATTTCGACCTCCCACCATCTCTGAGACTCGAGCAAAGGGTCGTTCACCTGCACCGACTCAATGGCCATGCCCATGGACTGCAGATCACCTCCCAAACGGGGCGATCGGTGTGGGAGGGCCTCCGCTCCGCTGCTCCGCTGCTCCGCTGCCCCGCTGCCCCGCTCCCCGCTCCGAGTCCGCTCCTGCCAGGCCCGCGAGGCCGGCCATCACGGGATCTGCGGAGCAGCTCCCGGAACCCTCTCATGTAACTGTGACTGTGACTGGGTGAGGCACTGGGACTGGGGGCTGAGGCGTCCGTTCCTGGCTCCAGGCCCAGAGGCTGCTCAGCTCCTCCCCAATGCTAGTCACGTGCCTGCGTCCCTCCATCGGTTCGGACGCTTCGCGGCCTGGCAGGTGCAGAAGCAAAACTCCCGTTCCACATGCGAAGCAGGGCACCTCTGCCAGAACTTGTGATCGATACTCTGGTCGTATGTGCATAGCGACCTAAAGCATGCATCCAGCTCGAGTGGCGGAAACTTTGTTTCCACTTGCTTCGGCCAGCAAGTCAGATGCTGCTGCATCCAACAAAGGAAGACGGACAGACCGACAAAAAAACGCCAGGCACCACATGGCACCACTTGAGTTTTTCTATTCAAACTTTGCCGTGACTCGGCATGTCAGGAAACTGCACCTCCCAAGCCAAAGCCTGAAGCTACCTGCATTTGTGCCGGAAATCGATCTGCTAGATGGACAAAGACAACCATCGGAGTGTGAGCCACTAGTCGTGCGAGTGCGCTGGTGTTGAACACGACACGCTGAAGACCCTGCCATCAGCTTTGAAGCTTTTCCTGTCCTGCAGGGCGGGGGCATGAACTGGACAGGCGAAGACATGTGGCTCCTCAGATCCGTGCTGGCATCCGAGACCACTACGTCAGTTTCAAAAAGCTTCCCCTGCGCATCGCGCATGGTGACCTCACAGGAGGCAGCCCTGCTGGAACGTGTGATCATGCTGGCACAGCCAAGCTGGCGACCCGCAGCCGCTTTGGACCGTCACTCAGAGAATCATCTTCAGGAAACTGCCTGGCTGGTGCCACGCACTTCAGTGACGTTTGCACGAGAATCAAAAGTTATCAAAAGTTCCGAGGCGCTTCTTCATCGACGAGAGAAACTTTGCCTGCAAGAAAGGCATGCTAAGCAGCTCCAAAAAGATGCCACAGGCACGAGCCCGTTTCCTTCTCCGCGTTGTCCTTCAAGTAGTCTGTGAAAATCTCATGTAACATCGGCCTGAGCTGTGGCGAGAAAGGTCTGAGTGCCAGCCTTTGGCATCAGACTCAAGGTGGAATTCACTCGAGGTCTATGAGTTTCTTCTCGAAGATATGTCTGTGCGTCGCAACCGGGGAGTGGTTCACAGGCACTTTTGGCTTTGACCTTTGCTCCTGTGCGGCCAGCGCACGCAGTGCTGTTCGCATGTGCAAAAGGATGTACAAGGACTCGCACTCCTTTTGCTCGTGCTTGAGCCGCGGAGTGCGAGGCGAGTCGTATGAAGGGCCCACATGCCCAACCTGACCAGCCCTATGCTTCTTTCGAGCTAGTGTTGAAACCCTTCTTAGTTTTCCGATCAGAATTCGGTGCAAGCTGGATGGACATCCAGTGGATCGAAGCGCGGGCGATCACTGCGGCAGGCCCTGGCGACTGCACTGTCGGCACAGCTCCGCAAGGCCGGATTCAACCAGAAGGTCGCGACTCGTTTGGCGGTGGGCCTTGCGGGGAGGAGCAGCACTCCCTGATGGCGTCTGCCTTCGTGCCCCACACCGACGCGGAGCTAGATGGGTGCAGGTGTGGGCCAACAAGGCGGTGAACGACAAGCACCCGCCGGCGACCCGTTGGCAGGCAAAGCGATGTTTGGACCCTTGTCTGTGGGGCGGAGCGGAAGCTGGTGCGGACGCATTCGATGGAGCTTCTGCTTGAGTGACGCCAGAGTGAGCCCCACAAGTGGCCCCTCAGCGATCATGGATTTTTTTCATGAGATGAGAGCCTCCGCCTGAGGGACCTTGATCTTTGGCGACCCGACGGGTGATTCATGGCGCATGTGCTCCCCGGGATTGAGCGCCGACAGGAGCGCATGTTGTGGCGCTTGACGTGGGAAGGAGGTCGTGGAGGCAAACCCGCGGCAGATGCAAATGCCCGCGTCAACACCCACCATCCGCGCCAGCCACTGTGGAGACGATCACCGGCACGACGGCAGGAGCATGGCTGGGTGCCCCCGACTTTGATCTGGAGAGGACGTGGCTTTCCTCGAGCCCCCACGGCCTTGGAAGTGAGCGTTGTCCTGGACTAATGGCAGCCCCCCGACAAGCCCTCCCTTGGCTTCACGACCAGGAGCCTACAGCCGTGGGGGCCACGAAGTGCCGTTTATGCAAGGGGCGCAAAGCGTGGGCGTCAGCCTCGCCGTGACAGCAACTTGGGGGATGCATCCTGGCGGGTCCCAACCATCGCGGGAGTTCCGGTCCGAGGGTCTTCCTTCCGTACCTTCAAGAGCTCTGCATGGGCACGGGCATGATGACCAACAGCAAGCGGCAGGCTTGCAGGTGTTGGCTCCCATCGTGTGCTCGGACCCGTTGATAAAGGTGGGCTATGCAGCATGTGGAGCCAACTTGCAGACACGGAAACAATGCCGTGAATCCTGCGTTCCTCGGATGGTTTTCCGATGGCACCATGAACATGGCATGTCCCGATGGGGATTTGACAACTGGACGAGCAAGAGGTGCAAGTATCTCGGCTAGATTGATTGATTGATTGCCTGCACAGGGCAAACAACGGGACATGGCATAGACTACAGAATAGACTCACTGCGCAAGGCATAGACTACAGAATATACTCAGCGCAAGCGTGAACACAGGGCTGTGCACGAAGAAAATAGGGCACAGATCGTCTCTAGCCATGTCGGCGATTGCCCACAAATTCGGAAAGAGTTCATGCTCTCCCGTGCACATGTCTTGGCACAGAACACTCTGGGCTAGAACCGACAGCATGAGTGATCGGGACAGCGACTTGTGCAGCGAAACCTTACCCCGATTAGTTGCACATCCAAGGCTTCTTTGCGCGTCGCATTTGCTCAACTTTCGCTGGTCTTTAGGCGGCGCTGGTTCTTTGGAGAAGCGCTGCGCAACGACATTTCTACACCGACCGCATTCTGGTCTTTGCAGAGTCACCACACCTTCGATCTTCTGCTTCGTCTTCGAACACCGACATGTCAAACTCTGCAACTCTGCTGTGTCTCATGCAGTTCTTAAGACCGACACCTCTTGAAGAGCCTGTCCGCACTTTCGTTGCTGGCGGAAATAGCAAAGTAGGCGTTAGTCGTCAGCACAGTGTCACAGAGGGCCGTCAACACCTGAGCCGTGGAGGGTCAGCGACATCCGACTTGTTCTCAAAGACGCAACGAACAGACTCATGGTTGCCGACAGCTCGTTTCCGTCGTTCAAGGTCATCCTTCAAAATCGAAACAACTGCCTCGCTGGACCGGGGGGATAGCAGCACTCTCGCCTCGAAGGCCTGGGAATGAAGAGCAGACCTTGAAAGCACCGGCGACAAATCTGCATTCCAGGATCCCTGTAACCTTCCCCTCTGAAGACTGTATCCCCGCATATGACGCATACCATCCATTGTGGTCCAGGGGTCCAGGCGTGAGCGACAATGCTTCAGAGTCTCCACTCTTAATGTCCTGCAAGCGACAAGCTAGCAGCCAAAGGAGACAAGCCGGAAACGTGAAGTAACATCATGCCCAGGAGACACAACCAGATTATCTGTTCGGAAAGCTGCCTTCTCAGGGTTCAAGGCGCCAAGCACAATAGTCGACCCGATAATCAAAATGGCAATGTTGAAGATCACCTGAGTGACGCAGCAACAAGTCTGGCTGATAGACATCCTCTGACACTGTTGCACCGAAAATTCTCAGACCTCTGCCAGGTCAAACCGGACCGTGGGCGAATCCAGTGCTGTTGGATCGAGAGCTTCCACGAATGCACTGAGCACCTGATGGAGCATTACTCCACTCGTTTAGTGCCAGCTCTTGCTGTAAAACATGCATCTCAAGCGGAATCTGCAAAGTCGGACCGGCCTCCGCAGCCGAGAGCGCGAGGCTCAAGAAGAACTCGCCCATCACCATACATGCTAGATGCCTTTATGGTCATTGCCACGCTGCAGACATGCCACAGAGCATGCGATCAGGCCTCCATGATGGCATCATCTGCGTTAGCGAACACACCTTCCGTGCAAATCCCATAACAAACGACCCATAACCTCTTGTTCATGTTGCGAAGAAGCTTGAAACTGTGCTGTCTGGCACCACAACAGCAGCAATGTTCAAGATCGTGTGCAGCTCCTGCGGCCACACCTTGAAGACGTGCTATCAGGAACTAGGACATACCGGTATGCATCAGCTGACCCACGACAAGTCTGAGGCCACCACCACAAATAAATCAACGAGGTTGTCTCGCCAGAAAGGATGCGACAGCATGTTCCAGATTGACCATACAACCTCCCAGATGTGCTTCCTCACCCTTCTGAACAATCCTGCTTTCCTGCTGAGCTGCAGACGGTCAATAGCCAGAAGTTGTTACTGGGGAACTCCTTCCTGCCAGGTGCTGGCGAGACGAGAGCCAAAGAAATCCGCATACACCCGGCCCCAGCCTGTATGCCGTCTCGAAGTATCCCAACATCAAATGTCCAGTGAAGATGGTCACGTCGAGGAACTGTACGCAGAACACTGGCGTCGCTTCTCTGTTCGGAGAGCTTGCGGAGTCGCACAATCAGATGCGCGACGAGCGAAGCGAATGTCGGCAACTTCGGGTCAGCAGATTCTTGCAAAGTCGCTACAAGACATTGGTACTCACATGCAGCCCAGAGCACCAAAGCAACCAAGCTCAGCAGCGGCATGCAGGTGCGATTCTCCCTGAGAGGGCAGGTGTGCTATCGCCCAACCTCCGGCTAGGCCGCGCAAGTGTCTGCAAGGCTAAGGGTGGAGCTGGCATTCACCGAGAGCGGAAGGTACTAGCCTCGCTCAATTCAAGCTTTGCCTCCAATAGCACTCCTCCCAGAGCCAAGGGACAAGAGGAAAAAGCACATGTTCTGAACAATCACCTCGTTCGTCAGTGATCTGTCTTGTGGCAGGAACACTGTATATGTACACCAAGCACCAGACCAGCATCGTGGCTGTCCTAACCAGACTAGCGCAGTTGTTAGCAGGTATGTGAATTGCAAGGCCAAGCACTCGCCCTCAGATTGACAAATATTGCAGTTCGATGCTCATTGTTATACACAGTTGCAGGATTGGTTCAGGCAGTGAGTCCCAGCGAGTCATTCTGGGAACATGACGTAAGTTAGTCGAGTGCTCTTTCCAAGTGCCAGCAGCAGAAGCGAACAGCGTCCTTCAACTTCTGCTGTTAACTGCTCCGCTTCTACGAGCACTAGCAGCATAAAGTATCACACCGATGTCTGCTGGATATTAGAGTCAGACTTAAGGGCACAAGTCACCCAGCAAAGCGAAGTAGCAGTTAGTCGCAGACTGCAGCCGCAAGCGAGCCAGGTCAAGCTCAATGGAAGGTCACCGCCGATAAACTAGTCGCATGCAGGGTTGACTGTGAACTGTGGCGAAGCAGCACGATAAGCAGCAACTCAGAAACGCTTTGGGAGCCAGGTCATACGTACGGTTCGATGGTCCGGCCTTGTGCCTCTTCGTGCAAGACTGGGCTCGGATTTGTTTCTGAAAGCCGCACCGAACTGGCCTCAGAGAGCAAGCCACCTCTTCGCTTGACCAACAGGGCCGACTGGCCTCACACATGGCGACTGGACATGCCATGCCAGGAAAGAGAATAGGGGAGCACAAGTGCTGTCGCCTTTGGCTTGCTGGCTTTGTGCTCTTCCGAGTGCTCTTTTGGCAAGGCCTGTTGCACCGAGGGGGTTTGTACCACCTGAATCTTCCTCGCATGAAGCAGCCCGGGGCGGCCTCCCCCGAGTGCAGGGACCTCACGAAAACACGACTCGAAGTCTCCACAACCGCACCGTTGATTCTGTAAAGCGAAGCAACACTGCAGCACTGTTGCAAATAAGACTACCAGACTGCCCACCTTTGGCCAATGGGTTTAACTGCCAAAGACCAAAGAATTGTCAACTGTCGCGTGGTGTCTGCCAGGGTACTTCCCGTTCTTCTCCACCGCGGCATTGTTTTGCATGATGCCTGCTTCGATTTCATCGCTCTTCCGGCGAAGGCTCTGCAACTGCCTGGCAACTGGAGATTGCAATTGCAGCTCCGGGCTTTCTCCAATCGAATGGCCGATCCGATGATGGTCTTCCAAACAGGTTTGCGAATGCTTGCGGCTTGCTTCTTCAGTATACAAACAAGAGCTTGGCTGACCTCGCGCTACATTTGGAACCCTGATGCTGCACATAAAAGACCACCCTTGCAGGTTCAGCATCGCAAAGGATCTAGTGCCCTTTGAATTCTGGCCGGAGCATTTCACATGGACCTCTCCTGAAGCGATGGCTCAAGATGATACTTCTTAGACCACAAGCGACTTCTGCCCCACCCCATCTGACTGGCAGCACATTTAAGCAATGATTTGCCCGTCCCACTCTCCGTTATGGGTCCGCCGTATGTGAAGGTGCCGGCCTGGCCCGGAACAGTGCTCCCTCAGCACAACTCTCCATCATTTTCTTGCTAACAGTGATTGAAGCATTCGTGGTCTTGGTGTGCGCAGTACAGCAAAAAGGGCAGACTTTGTTACAAACGGGGGCAGGTGTAGTAAACTCGCTTGCCCTTCTTCCCCTTCTTCCATCCATCTGGAGCGTGTTATGCCTTCCGGACGCCCAAAGAAAAAATCCAGCTGGTGCTCACGATGCAACCATCACTTCCTTTCGCGAGTCGAGTTTACTGTTTACCCGTGATACCAAGCATGGCCATACCAGAAAAGAAACTGTAGAGGAACACCAAGATCTGCTAGTGATCTTTTCGCACAGCCCCATATCCGTCCTGCGTAGATTACACCTGCAGCGAATAGCTCTGAAGAAGTACAGCAGGCAAGAGTTTAATGTCAAATAGACCCAAGATTCCGGATCCGAGATGCAGGCAGCCTCAGCCCCCACAACGCGCTTAGCAAAACCTGATTCAATGAGCCAACCCGGCCCTGCCACAGACCTCTATATAGTCCAAGACCCAAGTTTGCTGCGCTTGATTGTACTGGTTGGTGTAGCTCTATCACTCAGGTAACGCCCGGGCCTTGCCGCAGCGGCTGATGCACTGACTGAACTTGCTGGATCCTGGTACGAAGGAAGTCGGGCTGAAAGCGGTAGCCGTAAGCATGTGCCCGCCTCGACTGCATCAGGAAGGTCATGTCGAGTGGACTTGGACCTAGCCTGCCGAAGTCTTCAGTGTTGGTCCACAAGCTTCGAACGACTGCTGCAGGTTGCAGGGGTTGCAGGAGCTTCAAGATGGAGGTGAAAGGCATGTTTTCCGGCCTTCTTCCCCGAACTTCCCAATGCCATGTGCTATTGACCGAGAGGCGTCTGCACTGCACTGCGAGGAAAGCTGCTTTAGCCTTTAGTGTTGAGAAGATGTGCTTCGCTGGTCAACTACCAACGAAAATCAGCCTGGATTAGGGCAAGGTCTGTGTGATTTGGGCCGCTCTAGAGGCAGGATAACGAATTCTGGATGTCAGTCAGCGCACGGCACTCTGATGTGAGCTGAGGAAGACTGAGGCGAGGCCCCGATTTTCCTCTGCATTGCAGCACAAGTCCTCGAAACAGAGGATCTTCGAATCAGCTACATGGCATGTCATGGCATGTGAGCCTGCATAGGCACTAGTTGTGCCTCTTGGCTCAGGACTGTTCCTCAAGAGCACTCAGGCAACTGACGAAAACCCCCCAGAAAGTCCAAGCAGGAGGCAAAAAGAAAAACAACAACTGACAACCGATCCCAACAGCTCAAAAAGCTCAACGATACACAACGAACACCCCGTGCTGCATTTGGACTTTGCAAGCTCCAGAGCTGCTGAAGCATTGCAGCTGTACGCACACTTCTCGGCGCATCGCACTGGTGAAACTGGGGGTAGGAAATGATCAGTTCGAGTCATCTTTGCCGGCGACTGCCGGCGGAGAAAAAGTGCGACACTCTTGTGGTCATCGACTTGGCAGCTCTGGTTTCCACACAGCTTGCCGAATTGAATACCCGTCCACGGGTCGTTGAGAAAAGCTGCGAGTTGCCAAGTCCACCTGCAGCCTAGCATGAAAAAGGTTGTTGCTGGCTTTCCCCATGGCCAGTGCTGCAACACGATCTCAATCAACCCGCCACACATGGGAGCTGTTGTCTTCTGTCAGGCCACACGGAGGGAAAGTGAAAACACAACGCCCTTTCTCTCTGGAGGGATGTCACCAGATGTGTTCAAAATAGCTGCATCCCTTCCAAGTCCGAGTGTTTGCCAGCTATCGCAGGTCAACTCCAGTGACTCCTTTGGACACTGGACGAATCAAATTGGCTCGCGGGACAGCAGAACACTTGCAAATGCTACATCACCTCGCGCAGGAAGCCAATGTCGAAAAGTGCCTACTGGAAGATGTTTCTGGGATTCGCGGGGTCTCAAAGTAGTCAGCTGACTAGATCTGGCCCCTGGGCACTGGACTGCACTGGGATTTATCTGGTCCCCCGCTGCTACACCACACCACTTTGCTCACTTCCCCGGATGTCTCTACATTGCTACTTGCTCTCGCTTGGTCTTAACATGCCACAAGAAGAAAAACGAACTTGGCTATGCTCGTCCCACTTCGCTGCACCGTGCAAAAAACCACGCGTGTGGAAGTATCACAATGCCACGACAGATGAGAAGAACCTTGGTACATCTTGGCCATCAACAACGATGCTGCTCGGTGTGTCTCGCCCGCACGGAGAAGGATTCTAAGTTCAGCACGGCTTGCGGTTGCTCCTCATGACCTCCGTCCTCTTGAAAGCTTGGAGGTTGTTCAGCGCGCCCTGAAAATGAAATGCTTCCGCAAATCAATCACAAGGGCTGCAGCCAACCAAAACAAAGCCGTTTGCAAGAGCCTGCACGTGCGCGGGTACCACAATGCAGGCCTGAAACAAGTGCTCTGACCCATCTGGTGACGACCACTGAACAAAACACGCAATCTTGCCTTCGCGGAGCCTGAATTTGGAAAACGGTACCCGTCCATCTTGTTCTGAAAGTCGGCCGCATCCTGTATCTGAACTTGTGAACATCATGCGCACGGCTTCTAACACCTTGTAGGCTAACATCAATCTCGGTGTTGGTTGCATCTGTTCGCACTCGAAGCATCTTTGTTCGCACTCAAGCTGGCTCATGTGTGAATCTTGACGTGCTGAACTTCCTTATGGAATCGCGGATGTTGACACACCTGCTTGGTTCGACAACATCCCAATCCTAAATTCCGGTAGTATCCACATCGCCGAAAAGCAAAACACTTAACAACGACTTATCTACTCGTCACTTTTTGCTCCGGATACACCCACTCGTCGCGGGATGGCCGGACAAGCTTTTGAGGCATTCCTGTCGAGAAGTGTTGCGCATCATGGACACCACACCATTGAGGAGCCACGCATTTGACAGCACGAAACGATTCCCGAAAGCAGCGGTACTTCTAAAGCGAAAACTGATTTGGCAAGTCCGTTCAAAGTCTGTTACTCATGAGAATGCCCAAACAGTTCGACGGCCGTTCAATAGTGGGTGTTGTAGGTACTTGAGAACTGTCCGATTTTCGAAATCTTCGTTGTGGCTTCAACACACGACCTGTCGTTGCCAACCAGAAACAATGGCGGCATGACCAGCGGGAAGCTGCTGCAAGCTGACACTCCCGTGCCACATTTTGGACCATGCGCTTTTGGGAATTGGCTCGGTAGAAGTGACCAGCCCCGTTTTGACACGGATCACGGCCCAGCGCGCACACGCGCTGGGCTTGCAGGATTGGCAAGAGAACTAAAAGACTTGGGCATGTGCGAAAACCCAAAACCCGAACAGGGGTAGCCCGTACACATGTCGAAAACTCCAATCCGTAGAAGGCGGTGCGAACACCGGAAAAAAGGTTCGGCATTACGGAGAACATAACGTAGAAGCCTGCGCGTACGGGAACAACTCGGACATTGCTGTCACGCAAAAGCGTAAAATTAATCCAGAGGCTCCGTGGGAGTTCATGTTCGTGCTTGAAACATCAAACTTTATGGTTTTACGCTTTGTGACACGGACCTCGCGCGCTGACACTGACAGCCCGAGAGTTACATCCCGAAGGCTTTCGGGTAGGTCAACGTTGCGGACAGCAACTGCCCCCAACGAGACAAAAACGCTCGGATTTTTGTTCAATTTTGAAACTTCGGTGGATCAGTTCAAACTGAATGGGTTTACAAGTCTGACCCGAGTTGTAACACAACCGCCCGCTGCGAGTCCTTTTGCTGGCTTAAGCACAAGGCGCCGTACCACATGTGGCTCGCAAGGCGGTCGCATTGGTCGTTCGCAAAACTCTCTTACAAGTAGCATGAAGAACTGTATATACAGGGCGTAAGAAAACGAATGCCGCGCCCCGAACACTCAGCAGCGTCGCCCACAGCCTTCCCAATGCATCCCGCGTCCGCGGCATCGTCACCCATCCACTGCACGCTGCGAACAGCCTCCCCGAGCCCCGTCCGTGGTAACGTCACACCCCCGACCCCAGCCCGACCCCCATGAAACCTCGTCTGCATCAATGCTTCGACAATTGCCGTCAAGCCACCTGGCGTGACCCGTCAAGCCACTGCCCGACAAACCGTCTCGGCGGCCGCAGCCCTCCCGACCCCAGAGCACCGACCACGACATAGGCCAAGGCCGTCCTCTTCACATCTAATCTTCGAGGTGAGCCAACAAACCACCATACACCAAGGTTTTTGTCGCGGCTCTTGTTGCCTGCGCCCGCAGCCTGTCGGCTCACAAGCATGCACCCGACCGAACAGCGGCGGTTGGATTTCCGAGTCGTGCCGTAGGTTTTGTCGTGCCGGCCATCGAGGCGGCCTTATGACCGATTTTGGGCTGTGTTCTTGGGCCTCCTCCCCTGACTGTTTGGCCCTTCTTTTGTCTCTCATATTTGCAGTTTCGTCAGACCGAACCGCAGAACCCAAACAGCATACGTCTCAAAGCCCGAAACCTCAACCACTGTTCTTTGTGCTAGTACTTGACTGTTTACGGCTCGGCGTTCTCCTAAACACCAAAATCTCTGTCTGCTCAGTCACCCAGATGGTTCTGCGCTTCTTTGCAAGTCGAAAACCCCAAATCTTTAAGACCTTAGACCTAGAAAAACCCAAAACCTTTTTCATCCTAACGTCCGAAAACCTTGAAACCCTTCTGACAACGACGGCAGGAGAAAGTGACAAAAGCCACAGTGCTTCGCGGAAGAATCTGGCCCGTCCAGACTCTTCCGTCAAGACGACATCTGGGTATACAAAGCAAAGAAAGGAGTAAGGTTGTATGGTTTAGGGCATGCAGTCGGGCTTAAGGTTTGGCATTCCCTAAACACCAAACCCTCTTCCTGCTTCGTCACCCAGATGGTTCTGTGCTTTTCTGCCAGTCAAAACCCTGGCGCGTTAAGACTTTGAAACCTGAAAACCCTAAACCCTAGAATCCTAAAGTCCGGTAACCTTGAAACCATTCTGACAACGACAGCAGGAAAAATGACACAAGCCACGGTGCTTCGCGGGAGAGTCTGGCGTTTCTGGGAGAACAAAGCGGTTGTATGGTTCAGGGCATGCAGTCGGGTTTAGTGTAGAGTTCCCCCATTAAACACCATATCCTCAAAAAAATTTTGCCCGCGCAGTTACCCAGATGGTTACGCGCTTCTCTGCCAATCAAAACCCCAACACCTTACAACTTTACAATCCGAAACCTTAATTAAACCTTTGAATCCTACAGCCCGGTAACCTTGAACCCCGGCTGACAACGGCAGCAGGAAACAGTGACACAGGCCGCGGTGCTTCACGGGAAAGTCCCAGATCTTTCTGCGAGACTACATCTGGGTAGCCAGTCAAAACCCTAAAGGTTTAAAACTTTCGAATCCGAAAACCCTAAACTTAAGAATCCTAGAGTCCGAAGCCCTTGAAACCCTTCTGACGACGGTGTATACATACAAACAACATACAGTGTAAATTTATATCTACCTATACTCCTATGTCATGGATGTCTTGCGGACGACCACAATTGACAAAGGCTAACTGTTGCTGCCTTTGCAGCCCTACTATAACCCTTGTAAGACGTGGATATGTTCACCAAACTTATTTAAAAATGGGTGAACCAGAAGGTTGTTGTTGACGTGCTTTATGAACCCTGAATGCTAGACACTAAAGCACTAAACCCCAAACCTTAATTGAAGGGCGAAAATCGAAACCCTAATGTTCAATGGATTGTGTGCGTGGGCGCGGAACCAAAACACTCATTGCTCATGTCGAGCTTAGTGAAAATGAATTTTAAAGCCTGTTGACTGTCAGGATTCTGTATTAA